CTGCCTGCTTGCAACGGACAATATTTTGCCTTCAAATTTTTTTTGATCGTTTTTTAATAACAAAATCTCCCGCTTTCAGTAAAAATGTGGAACCTGCCTATTTTACTGCCTGTGAATAGAATGTATGAAATTGCATTCCTTCAAGGACAAGGACTGCAAGCTTCGTTCGTCTAAATGTATTATTATTTATTTCATACTGTCCGGTAGATGTTCGATTACACTATCATTTTGAGTCCGGTAGGTGAGTTATAACAGCATCAGAGCCGGTAAGTGTCGCTAAGCAACACTTACCGGGCTGTTATTTGTATACATCAAATTTGACATCTTCACACAATTAATTAAAAACCCCAACATAAATTTGGCTGTAATTATTTATTTCAAACATTAACATTGATTGTAATGAAACAATTTGTATTGCTCTCAACACTAACGCCTGGGTTATTACTGGATGTCGAGTTAGTAATGTTTGATTCCTTCTGCTGTAAAACTTCAATGAAATTTTCGCCGCCTTGTATCAGTTGTATCATACGGGCAATCTTAACTGTTCCTTATACCGAGCCTTCGATGTATTTTTCTGCCGTCGATCAGCTTTTCCATGCCCCATGACGCTTTAACACCGAAACCCAGGCAAAAAAATCTCAATTCAAAAACTTACTGCATCCAAACAGTATGCCAACATGACGTTTTCCTCTACTTGTTTCGCCCCATGTTAGTTCCTCCATTGGCAAAACACTTAGTACCCTTTTTCATACCTTGCGGTCGACTTCTTAGGAACCAACTTTTCGGTTGCTTCATGAGATTTCGACAGGATTGTATCGGGAACAGTGGAACATCCCACAACGTTTATAGCGTCCATTTTTAGTGAAAAAAATTCAATGTAAACAAACTACAAACTATAGCAACGGCCGTTACCACAGAAACAAGGTAATGCGATTTTTACAATATAATGAAATTTTGTAATCTTTGAAATGAAATAATGATACAAAACAGACTTACAGTATGAAATAAAATACGTTACGATATACGTCCGGTAGTACTTGTAACAGTACTCGTTTAAGACATTCTTGACTCGGCTCCTGACGTCGCCTCGTCCATAATGTCTAACTCGTACTGTTACAAGTAACCTACCGGACTTATAACGTAAATAACTATTACATTACAAATTTACGCAATGCTTCTTAAGGGATCTATTTTTAGAACATTCCAATCCTATTTATAAAACCATTCCAATGATAACACAAAAAACATCCGGAGTTTCTGACATCTGACGATTAAAAAGGAAAATATTCGAATGGTCAAAATAAATGGTTTGTAATGCTGCCATCTAATGTCAATGTAACGCTCCACTTTCGATCGCCCACGGACTTTCAAACGATCGAACTGCTCCTAGCGGCGGCCAGTTGGCACATGGTCACAAACTGTTATATGGGATCCGCGCTTCTGATAGTTATAAATTCAATGGTTTTAGGTTACGTAAACAAACCATCATTTCCCGTAATCTGGCTAAAGTTAATCACAACTCCTACTTGTGTTTACTTCGGTCCGCATTTACTTATTTCACTTTTTCGCGTTTGGTCGTTCATTTGCAATTTACAAAAAAAGCACAGAACTTAAAATAATCTAAAGAATAAGAATTGTTTTTAAAATGCGGTTTTGAACAATTTGCATCTAAATCAGCTGTCATCTGTGTCAGACAGTTACGATGAGAGCGCCATCCATTAGGATATTGGCAACTAAATCGAGGTAGGTAATGAAATATTACTAACCTCGAATCGAACATTACTTAACCTCGAGAATCTACTTTCCTCCCTCCTGGAAAAATAAGTGTTGTAAAACACAACTTCCTTATCCTTCAAAATGACAATTATGAGACTGATTACAATATGATCGTGAATAAACAGATTTTTTTCACTACTAGCGTCTGATGACATGATTATTAACCTTTTTTCCACTTGTAAAGTAGGCTTTCTCGGCATTTGTTCAAAGTGGTTAATAATGTGGACATTATTAACTAGTAGTCAATAATGAGAACTGTCACGCTGTCACTTTTAGAAAACACAACCCGAAATTTCGCTCAATAAACGTTTAGACAAGTTCTCTAAAATGAATAATTGCCACCATCCGCCATTTCCAGAGAAATTACATACCTAAAATTGACATTTTGAAAAAATTCGAACTAAATTACTCTTTGAAAATATCTCAATGACAGAACAAAATACGGCCTGTTTGACTTGTACTTCTACGTACTTGATTGACATGTTAAATTAATAAACAAAAAATTCTGTCCAACCGTTCACTTTCTTATCAAAATAATATGTTAATTTAGAGGCTTTCAAGTGCTAGTAGTGAAAAAAATAGTATATATACCACGGTAGAGAAGTCTATTATTGCCTTCGCACCTTACACCCCTCGGCGCAAGCGCCTCGAGATGTAATCTTGGTGCTCAGGCAATAATACTGTACTTCTCTACCTTGATATATAATGTACTATTTTGGCATTTGAAACATTTTTGTTCCCTTACTTACTGTCTATTATAATATTTAACTTATCTACTATCTTGAATAATTCATTTGGTAGAAAATGAAGATAACTTTGGCTTGTCAATTTTCGTCGTAAATGAAAGGTACCTATCTCACTAGATATTGTTTTCCATGGCCAACTCTGTTTACTTACCTATCAATAATCGAAAATTACTGCAGGGCGTTTATTTATTAAAGTATCCCTTTCAGCACTACTATAGGTACCTACTGGTAGGTAACTATTATTGGGTGGTTTGGTTAAGATGAATATGTAATCGGTCACCATCCTAGTCAATTTTATTAATAATAGAGCTATGTTTCATAAATTTAATCGGAAAATGCAGATGCAGAGGTGCGCGGGAATTTTTTTGAGTAGCTATCTATTGTCGCATTAATTTCCGAATACTGACAAAGACAGAAAAAAAAACGAGAGGCGATAATGATAATGCTAAAGTACAGTCGTGAGTCGCAGTCTAGACAATACACGATTCCGCCCCCGCCGGCATTATTTTGTGTACCTACCTATTTTATTCAATTTTACTTTTCCGTCAGGTGGTTTGTGCTTAGGTCTAGGTTAGGGGGGGCGATCGCCCATGCCTCCCACCCAAAAAACCGCCCCTGCATTAAAAAACCTTTTTAGTTTCTGATGAAGGTTGCAACGTCAACCGAAATATATTAAATTTATATCAAAGAATGGTCTTTGAATTTGGCTTACCACCTTTATGCCTACTGGACTAGGACTTCCCCCATCTTAACCACCCAATAATATTTATTAAAGTAGGTACATTTAGCAAGCCTTATATCGTTATAAAGAGAAAAATTTGTCCTTTTTAAAAATGTCAAAGCCAACTGCTATGACTACCATTTAAAAAATTAAAGTTTGTATTATGTCAAAAATTGTAAAATCTAAAAATAAATTAGTATGTGCATCATGTTAAGCATTAAAATGTCTAAAACTTTTATTCGTGTCATTTTGTTATATTTCTAATAATAACGATTCTACAACAGTTAAATGAAAAATCTGTTTTTCGCTCATATCTGGTGAACTGTTGCTTTTTTTTCAAAAAACTGCTTAAAATGAAAAAAACTCACCTTGTATACCTATAGCTAAACAGATCCCACTGAAATTTTTGAATTCGTGCGTAATTGACCAGCAATCTTTAAAAAAAACGTTTTGTAACGTTAAACGAATTCTGCATTTTGAAACAACTCAATTAAACAAAATATCGACGTTATACAAGTATTCTTTGGTTATACCAACGATACTACCTAAACCTAAACATAATAATAATAATAATCACAAATAATAATAAACCGTGGTTTCGACGTTTTTGAAATGTTAAAAATTGTAACCTTATGGACTTACGTCGCTGGAACCGGATATTATGTTAAAATAACATTTAGAAGGTTAACGTCATACCAGAGACATGTACACTCCATGTCTCTGCGTCATACAAACATAATTTTAATAATGGTTTTTTGCAAAACCTTGCTACGATGTCGTATGGCATTATAATGTTAGACTGTGACGATATCTACATGTTGACGGAACCATGCATAACTACGTACTAGCATTGAGTATATTATAGTGTGTATAATCAGTGGTGTTAGGTTAACATTATAACGACATTTTGATAACGTTAATTTGCACAGTTACAGTGACGATGTTGTAATATTAAAAATGTGTGCATTTGGTAAAGTAAGATGAACGCATTGTACAATGAAAAAATAGCTGGTTGGCGACTTATCACCCGGTTCATCTCCATTTGCAGTTTAACATGTTTTGTTAATGTTGTTGGTGTTCTGTGTATTGATCATGTGATTAAATGTATATTATTTAAGAACAAATTACGTTTTTTTAATGAGAATTTCAAAAACTTAGGTAGGTACTCTGTTCCAAGCAAGAGGGATTTTGCTAGATGTAAATTATTTAATTCATTGGCTCCAATTTCAAAACGACTTGTGCAACAGGTGAGAGCGTGACGTCATCATAATGTTTTTATTGATTTAATTACTTTTGTAAATAATAATGAACAATAATGGGTTTTTATACTCCATTATAATGTATGAGGTTGACATAAATGTAATAAAGTGGTGGACAAGTTTTCAGCGTGCTTCAAATACCTACCCAAAAATGTCTACCAGCTCTCGGACTATATGGTGTTACGTTTGTCATTAAACATAGGTGTTTAGAAGTTACAAGAGAAACGTCTCTGAAGGCGGACAATTAATAGCAGTGGCGGTGACGTTTACACCTAGTTTTTCTGAAAGAACAATAAGTACTTTATTTATGTATTTATATAGTTCAACCAACCAACTTCTAAAAAAAAATAAGTAGATACATACAACAATTTAAATCATTAATTTTTCGTTTGTGTGTTAATAAAGTTGAAGTATTATCGTTCCATGCTGCATGCATGTGCGGTTCTATTTAGGGTGGAATTCAAAGATTTAATACTTGCCTTATATTTACTTTTGGTATTTCTCGCGTTACCTACTATAACGCTAATGGGCGGCATGTGTTGCTTTAGCAAATGTTTCTTTGAACACCAAAATATTACAAGTTAAGGATGAGTAAAGTGTAAGTCATTCTAAAGGAAGATCTTTGAATTTCACCCTTAATCTAATGAACGAAATTAAGTATCAAATTCTAAACTTTTAAATATTTTGAGAGAAATTTGTCTAATTGTTTGATGTGATCCATTCGAAAGAATATATACAGGCCGGGACACTTCGCCGACACGATTTTTTGATGGTCCATATCGCCGACATAGGGACTCTACGCCGACCATGCCCACATTGTCGAGAAGCGTGTACAAGGGACACTAAGCCGAACGTGACCATAACGTCGATTCATACAACAGTTCAGACGGTGTGCAACACCAAGCAGCTTTTGACGATAGGTTATTTGTAGGTTTAGGACATTTTTTTAAACTTTTTTTAAAATGCAAACTCATACAAAAATTCTTAATGAACCTGGACAGATTATGAGAGGCCTGGTATTTCGAATAGCCGGAGTTGTGGTCACGCTTGGCTTAGTGTCCATTCGGCGTTGTGCTCACGTTCGGCGTAGTGTCGCTAGTCGGCGATATGGACCATCAAAAAATCGTGTTGGCGTTGTGGGCATTCGGCGAAGTGTCCTAGACCCATATATACATAAGGAAATTGCAAGACATAAGCTTTTCTGTACAAAATAAACAACAAATTCGCAAGAATTGAGTTTTTAGTTAAAGCAATATTTGAGACAAAAAAATGCTTTGAAAAATTTCACCAATGGACTATACCTATACTTGATGTGTATACATAAAGGCTATAAGTGGGTACACTAAGTGCTGTACAGATACCTACTTATAATATCAAGTTTCTGATCATAATATTCAAAAGTTTAAACAAACCATTTGACATTCACAATTTTATACAATGAAGGTTACGAACATAACAACATAAGTAATCAAAAATCCAATAAAGCTTATCCTGTCCAACAGCTTGGCAAATAGCTTCCAATCTTTATTTATGGACACTGCATTGCTTTCAATAATGTTTACTGTATCCTCTTCTTTGACTCCCGTTGCAATACTCTAAGTGGAATTCATTTTCACCATGACAAATTAACGTATTTAACAAATACCTTCAAACTTGACTCGTATAATAAAAACCATTGCCCAGGCCGGTTGCTTAGCACTCCCGAAACAACTGTAGATATCCACGCTGGGCTGGGTTTAGCCGATTGTGTCATCGCTTTCAAAACTACTGTCAATACAATTGTAAAAGTGCATAGCAAAAGAGAATCTCGAGAATATACTACTGCAAGCGATAGTGGAATCTAGACATTATCTGTGACATTCACGTTACTTACTTAACAATGGTGGTTTGTCACCAGTCGACGGTAGCTGCCAAACAATCATTTGTATGTGTATAGTGTGAGCAATAAGGTTACAACATGCTAGGCATAATCTGTCTAACTCTTGGGGATTCATCCATAGTGTCGTCAATGTTATTATGATTAGCACTGAAAATGTATATGCAACACAGAGAAATGTACGTAATCTTAAATACCGAGACTGGGAATTATTACAGCAGCAGCTTGAGTTGCTGAATGCCTCTCGATCGAAAATCTGTAGTTAATAGAAGGATAAGTGTTGTCTGGGCAACAGTTATAATGCCCAGGAAACTTTTGAACGCTCACACTTAATAACTTCCATTCACTGTTCGGAATATAGTCACCAGTTGAAACCGGTATAGCAGGTATTTTAAAATCGATCTCCTCCCCACTGTGAACCCAAGAACCATATCTCAGAGAACAGTTTTGTTTATCAAAAGGAAATTTTGTTAAATCTGCCATACAAAGCGCATCATGCCTGCTTGGATTCACGCAAACTACCAATCCAGTGCTCACAACTAAGCAATCGACAGAGCTTAGTGCAGACGGATGAGATGATAAATCATTGCTAATAAATGCCATCATTAATGTAGTTTTGGACTACACCTTCATTTTACCTGTTGTAAATCGAGAGGTCTGGAGTCCAAATTTCATAGTTTGATAGGTGGATTTGTTTGATGTTTTCGTAATCCGACGGTTTCCATTTTAAATGATCATCCCTCCAAAACTAAAAAACAGTGGTAAGAAGGTATATAAAGGAAAATGAATTAAAACTTACAATGCTCAACCAGTTGTGTACCGACAGAGAGTTAGTGTGCATATCCTAAAGAAAAATTAAACCGAAAAATGTGTCAGGTTGACAAAATCCTTACGTATGTAAAGAACTTCAGTATCATTTTGACAGTGACAACAGTCGCATTGGTATGATTGAAAATTGGCCTCACATTCGATGTGTAATCGCAGAGTATGTCATTTTTAAGCCTGATCGGTGCCAAGTGTGAGGTTTTCTTTTTACACTCGTCTTCGTCTCCATTACATCGATTAAGGACTATAAGTAATAATTAGTTTCTTATAATGCAACATTCACACTTACAAATTGCTGCTGTAATAAAAAGAACTATGAGCTTCATCATACTACCGTTTCGTTACAAATAATAGTTCTGTTTAAACAATTGTGTAACATACGCCAGTTGAAACTTGATATAAACCACCCCCTTTATGATAACCTGAATAAGACTTGACCGATAAAAATTAACTTTCGCTATCGTTGTGTTTAAATGTTGAGTTGGTCTGTTTTTAGCAAATTGATTAAATCCTCTCATTTCAACAAAATTTTAGTTGCGTTCATAATTGTAGCTAATTTTTCCGATTTGTGGAAATTTACTGCCTACATGCACATGGCCAAAATCTGTTATCTTGCAATTTTAAATCCTGTGCTCATAAAGTGCTAAATAATTTCAAACAGTATAACAAAATTAAACCAGTGGGGAAATATTGCATGTTGCTAATATACTACCTAGTGTTTGGGAGGGTGTTATTTATACAGTGTGTCCCCGGTTTGACTTCACCATAATACATGTAATTGATGAAAAATTTTTGAATCTCATTTTGAGGTTTTGGGATCACGGCCTGCTTGGTCTGAAAGGAATTTCAAGCACATTTTTACTTTTTAAAATCCAAGACAAATGAGAAAAACATAATTTTACGTTGAGGTAAAGTGCCATTTTGGTCAATAATACGGCAAAACGTTATTAAGAATTCGGATCACTTTGATTAAATCAGTATTTGATTTGTAGTCTTGCATAGCAACCATAGAACCCAAGTATTCTCTGGAAAACAGATTGTTTTATATGCCACTTTAATCTTAATGACAGGTAATAATAATTCATTTGTTTTATTTAAACAGAATACAGACTACAAATCAAATATGTACTCATTTAATCAAAGTGATCCGATATTTGTGAAATTTTGCAGAGTAGGGATACTGATTTATTTATTGATTAGTTGACGTTATTTGTGGGATGTCGTAACTGAACCAGTAAAACGAAACTTTGGTGATAAACCATGGAATGGATAAAAATTTGCAAAAAAATATATTAACAACTTACATTACAAAATGGTACAATAATAAATAAACATGCTATTTAATCTAAATCAAAGACATCCTCCGAAGGCGTTTTCAATTGATTATAACGTTCTTGCATTTTTTCCCACTTTTTGTTATTCTCAACCTTCGTCTCTACGTTCAATAATGTAGTGTTTGTGAATCCCATACCAGCCCTACCGACAGTTGTAGTCAGTTCCACCTGAAAACAAGTATGTGTACTAAATCAAACAAACCAATCGGCTTCTTCAAAATCAAACAATTTGTTACGGGTCTTACCGGATTAATCAGTCCTGTGCCCTCTTTTCCTAACGATTGACCCGCTTTCCATCCCATTTTTGACAATAGTTTAAATCCTTTATTTTCCGCTCCAATTGATCTGAAAATATATTGTATTATTACTCTTTATTTACATATTATTATTGCTTACGCCAGTAACACATAATGAATGACATTCAGGTACTTTTTATAGTCTTAGGTGCCTAACATACCTGAAATACTTCGACAACTCATTACTAAGTTTAATAATTCTCTAAGATAATAATAATAATTATTATTATTTTTTTTTTTCTTTCATTACTCCAATAAGAATAACTTATATATCTGTGTTGTTCATTTGTACGTTTTATATAATTTATATATAATTTGGTTTACGTTGCGCAATTTAATCCACTTTAATTATCTTTCAATGCATTTTTTCAAATACTGTATGTTTATAATATCACTCTACTTAAGTATACCATCTTAGTTACACAATTGTAATTTCACTCTTGTAAACAGTGTATTGTTACTCTATTATTGGAATATGTTTTCTGTTTGAGCAATAAAGTATTATTATTATAACATTCTAATGTTTTTAATTATTCATAAACATCAGTAATTTGTTGTATCAATAAACAAGTTTTCTCAAATTAATATTGAAAATCAATATTGAAATTGCAAAACATCACCTAAAATATATTTTATATTTTAGACAGCGAATGTTTAAATGTTTCGATGCATTACACATTTACAACATGGATGGTTTATATTCTTATTATGTTACCTTTTTTAATTTCTTTATCTTATACTAGTATACATTGAGATATTCATTTGCACTAAAGCATATGTAGAACTTATCCATGTGTACTTAAACTACACTAAAATTTTCACCTTCTAATAAATCAGTTTCTGAAAAATATTCCAATCAGCTTAAGAAGATGAGGTGAAAATGGGATTACATTTTGTCTCCTTTGAATACAAAATGAACGTACCTGAGGATTTGCCATAAAATGCAAATTTTTATTGGGACAGCGCATATGAATATTGCAGTATAGCTTATGTTATCAATAAGCCACACAGGAATTTTTCGAAAGAAAAAAATTCTCCTTATGTGATGGATTTGTCCGTCTGTCTGTTCCTCATCTAACTTGAGAACGAAAGGAGACAGCGATGTGCCAAACCTTCGCCAATCGATTTCTAAGAGTTCAAGGATCAGTGCTATTGAATATGAGCCGGATCAAAAGTCTGGTTTACGAATACGAGCGGAGTGACAAAAAATGCCCCTACTGAAAATCGTATGCGATTCTTCGTATCTTCGTAATTAACGTCACGTTTATACTGTTATTTTAGCGATTTGTACGGACGATTCGCTGTCGGTCAAAATTTTGCTTTTGTAGTTGCATGTAAATAGAATTATTGATTCTTATTAAGTATTAATTACGCTTTTAGTGGACGATTTACCCTAGTCTCAGACGTTAGACATTGGCAACGCAATAGTTATGTGCCGCGGCATTCACTATGTCTCTTGTTTGTTTGGATATGTTGTTATCTGTTACAGATAAGGCAGAAAAGCGCCCTTCTGAGCTCAAAAGACCGTTATAACCAGAGTTCAAAGGTAATTATTTTCAATGACTCCTTTATGTAACGTTTGATTACATACTAGTTTTTGATTCAATCGAATTGTAATTACTACATTTGTTTAATAGTAATTTAATAATCATAGCTACGTACATTGTTTTATGCGGAAGCCTGTTTTGATTTGAATAATTTCCCTGACTAAATTAAATTAAATTTAAACATTGACATTTCAGATCTAGAAATTAGTTTCCTATTTGTAATAATAAATTACACTTGATTGTAACAATTATATGTTCTACCCTGTCAATTATTTTATTTCAAGACCAAAACAAGGATCTTTTAGTCTGTCTTGTTCCCCCTTTCGGTAAGTATTCCCTTCTCTTTTTTGAAATTTACTAAAGACTAATTGGCGCCTATCCGGTTTACTATTACTAAATTTCCTTTTTGCTTCATTTTGGTTAGTATACAAGAACCCCATTATTCACCTCAATCCACCTCTATTTTACCTAAGCTTACTACCTGCATTTTTGTTATGTTTGCTCAAAGTGAACGTAACAGAATGTGCAGTGAGTATACTACTGCAATTAGTGATTTTTTTCAGGCAAATCATTAATAAAAATTAAAAATAACAGGGGACCCAAATTAGACCCCTGAGGTCGTAAATAGACAATTCATTGTAACATCCTGAACATCCTATAAAAGTTGATATGCGCAAGTGCACTTCATGATCTTACTTGTGCTCAAAAAGTAAACAAAAAACTTACTCGTCAATGGAAGCCACTTGGGTTTTTTCGTGTTCATTGTGACTTCCAATCGTGTCACGTCTTACTTGAGCCCTATCTGTGTACCCGGACGCCAAATTACAATTATTTGATTCGGACCAATTAACAGCAAACTTCTTGCGTAACTTTCGAAGCTCGCTCTTGTGCTGCTCACTTTTAGACGATGATACAATTTTTTCCTTCTCATCTACAATGACCGGATTAGTTGTTGCGTACGCCTTAAATATAGGATTACCAGTTTTAGACTGGAGCAACCCGGGTTCGCACTGATTACACGTTTCGTTACTGCTATGTATGTGGCAAAGTAAAACCGTTGAGCCAATCTGAATTTCGTTTCCATGCTTTAAAGGTACTGGTTCGCTTTCTTGTTTGCAGGCAGACATTCTCTTTCCGTTTAATAATGTGCCGTTTCTGGAGCCCAAATCAGTGACTGTGTACGTATTTAGGTCATTATCAAAGGTGAATTTCAAATGATGCTTGCTGATACTAATGTCTGGGATGAGGACTGCGTGATCCCCTTCTCTGCCCAGCGTACCACCTTGGTAAGTTATAATGTATAAAGTTCCGGCTGTTAGTTTGGCAACGTCTGTACTTTTCACCACAATTCGTATACACGGAGGCCATGCGTTTGATATGTCTGTCAAAAATGAAAGCGTTTAAATTTTAAAATGCTTATAATTTTGAAATTATTCAACATGGACTCAATATGTAAATAGGAAAAACTGATTCAGTATCAAATGAAGTCCTTCCACCAAATTGAACCATAATCAGTTCTCAAACACACAAAAAGTCGTCGTAGTAATTTAAAAATATTAATACCGGCATGCTCGGATAAATTTGTTTCGTCTACGTTATCTTGGGATGTACCGCTAACACTACTGTCCGAACATTCTCCTTCTTCTAATTCGGCGTTTTCTGTACTATAATCTGATCGATCCCTCTTGGTACCCTAGAAAGAATAGCGAGTTATACTAGGGGTACATACCAAGAGCTAGTTTACGAAGAGGGTATATATTCATATGATTGAATGAAAGAGTTAGATCATCCAAATCGCAAGAGGTGATTACCTAAAACAAATATTAGTCGTTATAACTCTATTATTTCTACCGAATCAATTTAATTTATTACCTATTCCAAAATTATGATAAAATAGACTGAAGCGTACTTTGTTACATTTAAGTAATACACGATTAATCAATTGAATTCACAATCAATCGATTTATACTCTGTAGAGATAATTATTGCAAATTTTTTAGCTAAATAATTTCATGCACAAAATAAGGTTTTTTATTAATTTATAACCAAAGAAATAAAATTCAAAACGATCTTAAAATCCCACCAGACCGGGATGGTGAGAAATACAAGTGAGTGCGATCAAAATCTCTGAGTTATGATTTCTAAAATAATGCTTATTTTATTATTAGAGGATTATTGAGGAAGTAACAACCTGAATAGGATTAGTAGATATAAAGAATACGACGATTGTGTGGTTTACCTAAGTACAGGAGATACCAATGTAACAAAGCTTCTATTTTACATACTTTCATGACCACCCAGTATCTGGAGGCGCTTCGTTACGAAAAGTACCGTGCCGAAAGTATTTATGTTGGTTCGAAGAGTAATTAATAAATAATAATTAAAGCTGTAATTAATTCGCTGTTCGCACCCGTTCCCGTTAAAATATTTCAACTATATTTGGTGCTTTCGAAAGCTCTTGTCATTTAGAAGAGACGAAGAAAAATTAATATTTTAGAGTTTCTGTTCTGTTAAGCCAGTTTTGGTTTCCTATATTAATGGAGAAGTTTCCAGTTTTTTTTTGCTGTAAATTAATTATGAAAATTTAAGTCAAATAAAAGAAAAATGCGAAAGAATCATTAAAATACATCCACAAACGAAAAAGTAACAAGACATTAAAGTTGCGCTTGGAAAAATATTGTTGTTTCACCGTGTGACGTCACTTGACCTATTCGCATACGATGCCTATTCGTTCGCTTAGAACGTGTACGGTTGCTTATTGGTGCGCCGCAACGATTAGGACAAATGACGTCACAGGCAGCAAAGTGAAGTAATACATTTCTCAGTCATTTATTAATGGATTTTTCATTATACCTCTCCGAAAGTACTGTCTTTTCATGTATCCCAAGCGCGCCGAAAGTAAGGTTTTCCCGTGCGCTGGCCATAACTATCCCTATCCCATGTGTTGCCATGCATACCGCGGCTTGACTTTGACATATATGTCAACCGATTTTTTACCATTGTGTTAAAAATCTTCAATGTAAATAATTATTCTCCGTTATTTTCGGAGAGGTATAATGAAAAATCTCGTGAAAAATATCGTTCATTACACGTCCAGGAAGGCTTTTCCCATGTTTGCATGGCTTCCCGTGTGAGGCGAAGCCGAACACGGGAAACGTCATGCGCCCACGGGTAAATCTTCCTTTCTGGACTGGTAATGAAATATACTATTAAAATTTTTTATTCACAATCATATATGTAATATGTCAATTGCCAACTGGTTTGAAGTTTGGAACAGCGTATGGTAAAATACTTTAATATAACCACTTAATTGATTATGTAAAGGTGTACATACATATGCGAGCTCAAGCGTTCGTGAACTGCTCGCGAACACCTGGTTTACTTAAATTAGGATGGGATTTGTAAGCACTCGTGAACTGTTCCTGAGTGGTTCGTGCTGTTTTCTGTCGTTTTTTTGACGAACAATGGGATTCGCAGATCATAGTGGGCGGTGTTTGTGTGAAGTTCTTCTACTCGTGAGCTTTAAATATGGAGTGTAGTACACAGACCAATGACTGCTGGTGGTTTGGCTTTTCCATGGATCATTGGAAATTCATTGTAAAAATAATTTTAAAGAACAGTTTATGAGCAGTTCGCAAAAGGTTCAGTTCGCATATGTATACACATATAAACTTTTTTGTATTTAATAGTGATTCAATTAACTATTTTAACTCGTATTTTAATAAATAGATAGACACACATTGCTATTAGTGTACTAGTGGTAAATTAGAACTTTACTTACTTTTTTTTTAGTTTTCTTCTTTCTTTTGCTCCTTATAGGTTTATTCACTACTTCATCCCACTTTTTTGTAGCAATCGGTACCTGAGAATGATACTCGTAGGTTTCAGTTTCAGTATTGTACGTCATATATGTCCCCGAATTTCCATCGTAATATAAGCCGAGTTCCTAAAGTTATTTCTATAAAAAAATCCTCAAACATGCTGCACATACCGCATTATAATAATATCCAGAATTGTAGTCGTAGTACAAACCAGAAGTTTCTTCGTATACAAATCCAGTACTTTGCATTGCCATTTCGGCAGCTTCCGTAATTTCTTCAGAAACAGACTTTTCAGCATTTTGGTGGTCTTGATCAAGATTCGTTTGAATAGCCACATTTCTTGTTTCTACTTTTTTCTAGAATTTTAAATAGACAGTTAAGAATAGAGGCTTATTCCAACTTCTACCAATTACTTTAACTGTGGGCAAAAAGTAAACATTATAATTACACTTACACATAATTTCACTTTTAATTTACTAATCTTCTTTTGCTGCTGTTCAATATATTTACGAAGGGTCTTGATTAACTCTAACACATTGGGATATCTTTCTTTTAAATCCATTTGCAAAGATTTGCTCAGCAAGAACTTTTTTCCAATTGAACATTGGAAGTCGCTTTCATCGGAACTATTCTTCAATAAACTGCATTCACAATCGATGTGATCGGAACTCGAGTCCATTCTCTACAAATAAATATAGAATTTCTTGTATGGTTTTAAAAAAAAATTACAAATTACACCCGTTTGATTTAGAACAGATGACTTCTCACTTTGATTTTGACAATCTGTAAGGAAACATGACCTACTGAGACAGTTGCAACTATCAAATTTCATGTGAACTACTATAGCGTAGCGCGTTCACACCATATATATTTTATATACCGGGTGAATATTTCAAAACCGAACATAGGGAATTAACATGGGTAAACAGGTTTTTTGCAGATCGTTGCTCCCTATATTAACTTAGAGGGTTCATAATGACACCAATAGAAAGATTTTTTTTTTTCTCATCTAATGATATACAAATTAGTTCATTTTCAGTTGTATGTTTCATTATTTAGCAAACATTCGGCAAAAAATCCTATTCGCCAAATCATGTTAACCATGGAAATTTTTTAAAGAATTGAAATAGCTTTTGACACAGACGGAGTAAGACGGTCTTTAAAATGGACGGAAAACAAATATCGCGTACTAGAGAAAACCATATACTTCCACAATAAATTTATATTTAAACTACAGGTATTGTATGTTATTTATTACAGAAAATTATTTATTTATGATATAAAAAAATATTTCTCTAGATATTTATTGATATTCATTAAGTACATTTACCTACGACATTTCAAGAAAATTATGTTTGGTTACAATTATGTTCATTTTGAACGCTTCGTGGGCATAGACATTCTAAATGTCTATGATGTTTAAGTGGGTGGTTTAAAATTGTCTGATTTAGCCTGAAAACCAACCGATACACGATTGTCGACCACGTCTTTTCCTTCTTCGGCAATATAAAGCTCGGTCACGTAATGGAAGGAGACACCGGAGCAAAATTTGCAGACTTCGGAGCATTTAAGATTTCTTTTTATGCAAGTACAGTGCCGTCCACTACAATCTTTCTTGCACCCGCATAATACACATTTAAAAAAAATAGAGGAGTGCCACTTCGCTCATTATTGTTAGAATGAGCCCCTGTTCGGTCTTCTACAATCTCCAATTAGTCAATTAGTCACACTTTATTATTTAAATCATGGATCATGGGTATTTTCAGTGTAGTATCTTCCGTGCAGAGTTACTAGGCACTTCGCTCCGGCACCTGCGATGGATAAACCTAAAATTGTTCATCCCCTCGCGCGACGTCCAGATGCTTGAAGCATGGTCTCCCCCACGCAAGGTAAAATAAGTATTTCCTCGCTATTGATGTTGAAAGTTGCTCAAATCTTAAAACATTTTTGAATAAAATTGTCCATTTTTGAAGGGCTGCATCTCAGTAAGTATTGAACCTAGTACCTACATAATTGCCTTTGGTCTTAAATTGTACTAATATTAGTCTACTTTGTAGAAAATATTTTTTAAACGCGTAGTTTAAGATATAGAAGCGTGGCGTACTCTAGTTTTTATTAATGCACCGTTATCTGAATCGTGTTTGTTTAACTGCAGTTGATTACCTCTTTTTATCGTACAATTTGAGCAGTTTTATTTGTGCATTTTTATCGTTCGCAATTTGTTTGTACCTAGTTGGATTTATTTCATGTATTTGTGTGGGATATGCCGGGGTTTTGTCCCCTAGAAGGTTTCCCTGTGCGTAATATATATTTTTACACACAAAAATTTGCGTTTTATTCAATTACCCTTCTCGATAAAGGTCTCATGTTCCAACACAAAAGGACCGATTACACAATTTTCCGGCCGACACTTTATGGAATATGTTTACAATATACGTACAAAAAGGTAGCCGAAGTATTGAAGGCGAGCGCGGATGCGGGTCTTCTGGCAGGTTAAGCGTAGCACGAAGTCTAGCTGGCAGTCAAAGCAGGAATTGCTTTTCAAAGTTCGGGGATCTGCTTTTAACTGCTTGCAGCCAGGTACGCTACGCTCTTATCGGTCAGAGGGTGCAGCACGTTTTAGTTTGTTGACAGATGTACAAGCGGCGCGTTGCGTCGCCACACACAACGTAGGAGTTCATTTGATTCGTCCATATCGAGCAGACTGCTGCATAGATTCAAAAATGCCGCGAAAAGTTTATTATTTCGACTTAAAAGTTAGGTGGCTCTGCTTGTAGTGTCTCCAGAGTTGTCAACTTGTATTGTATTGGCATCTGGAGAGCCTCTAAAATCATCACAGAAGGTAATTAACAAACATTCACAATTTTTGTACCCATTTCGCGAACTTTATTTATGTTAGAACTAGCCCATTTATTTATTTTAATAACACTCTTACCATGGAGCAGCTTTTGTTACATCCGAGAAGGTTCCTGAATCATCCGAAATGGAGTTTACGGAGCATAAACTTGCCGAGAGCTGAAAAGGTTCGCAAACAGCAAGCAAAAGGTATATGGGAAAGGTATGAGAAAATGGTCAGTCTCAGTCAAAAATGACCTGATCTATATATACAGGGTGTTTTTAAATATGATGTAAATACGGAAGTGTCTAATTCTTTGACTTAATTTTATGACTAAAAGTTCATATAAATATAGATCTGCACACGCTTTGTTACCGATTTACAGGGTGTTATAGTTGTACCGTAGACTTTACACTTTAAAACTGTTTTTATTACTAGCTGACCCGACGGACGGTGTCCTCTTTCTTAGCTATGAATACCTATTCAATTCGGACTGGAATAAATAATTACAAAAAATTTGCTGTGGCTAGTACAGGTACCACCCGCCCCACCTGCGCATGCGCGATTCTGCCCTTTTATGTTAGTGTAGCAAATTTGGTTTAAATCGGTTCAACCGTTTAGCAGGAACAGAGATTTTGACATACTTGCCCCAAAATTTCTCAATCTCTCCCCAAAATAATAAAAAATAAACGCACTAACTTCTAGTTGCGCCAAATGCCGTAATTTGAAAGCAATTATTGTATTTCTGGATATCATTGACATGACTTATATGATGTAAGCTCTTCAGGGTAACTTATATTTCAAATTTGAGCGAAATATCTCAAAAACTGCAACAAATATAAAGGAAAAACTGAAAAATCTTGAAATTTTCACACCCTGCAGATCGGTAATGAAGCGTTTGCGGATCTATGTTTATATGAACTTGCAGTTATAAAATAAGCCGAAGATTAGCCTCTTCCCTATTTACATCATATTTAGGAACACCCTGTATGAACCGAGGGCTCTCCTTTCAAAACGATCCATCATACTAGAAACAGAAATGATATGCAGAGGCCTCTACGCGGGAAGGGAGGGACAACGAAGTCTAGGTAACCCTTAAATTACTCCGATACAACTGAACACCGAACGATCCTCGAGATGTAACTTTTTGACCCGACTGTCTACGTACCTATCTGAAAAACAATATCGACCTCTCTTGTATTTTAAGAATATGTGTACAATTTTCAAAGCGATCGGACGTTTCTAAACAAAGTTATCGTGCACACGGACAGGCAGACGGATAGACGGTAGTACAAAATTATAAACGATCTCAAGAATCGTTAATAAAAATCCTAGGCATGGCTATTTGTCTGAAAATTACAATCTGTGGTTCGTTTCTTTTTTTAAATGGAAGCCCTGTATACGAATTACATACTAATAATAAGATATCTACCTCGGAAAAACCATCCGACAGTAACGCAATTATGCAAATGGTCAAGTGGGAAAGATTAATTGAAAGTCTTCCCCGTACTTATAGGCTATGGTACTTACCTAATTTAAAAATTGTTTCTTAATATACCTACTTGACTACTTATAGGTAGGTACGTTTTCTTTGCATTTAACCAATTTGTTGAATTGATATGATTAGGAAAAAATCTTGTAAATGTCTATTAAATAATGATCAAGCAGCTCATATAGCTAACAAGATACTCTTTATTATCTTCTATATACCTCCACAAATAACAATAGGATTGCTTTTTTTGCATTTCTAGGCGATTAATTTTAAAAGTTGATAGTCTCAAATCGTGTCACATCTAACCGGGCCGGCTTTAGGCGTAAGCTGTGTATAACCAAAGAGTACTCTTTGGTATAACCTTTGAATATTATTCAAAGGTATAACTCTATGTTTCGGGCGCAGACAACAAGGGGCGCAAATCGATCGATCGATCATCGATGAAAAACCCCGTCCACGGGAGCGGGACATTAACTGGTAGGCGGTACGAAATTAATATATTTTTAAGAGCCTGCTTGCAAAGAGTTCCCAAATTCAGGCTTTAGCGCGACAGGCAGGGGCGCAAATTTAAGTGCTTTGGTACAATGCTTACACGTAGGTAACTTTTGCCTTGTGCTGGCCCTGCGATCGAACAACTCTGAAACTCCTGTACCCAGGCGATGGAAACTGATGGTAAAATTCTAAAAGAGTCGCACTCGAATTTGAAAAGTAAACCATTATAGCCGTGTAGGAAATTGAGTGCCCTTTTCAATGATATGTCACGGGACACAACGTTCAATTTAAAATTATTGAAGGGGTGTTTACGGCAAGGTAAGTAAAAGATTCCAACCAAAATCGACCTGTTTCTACGTTTTTTCCAAAAGCAACTTCCGTATTCAGTCAGATCGTTTTCGCCGTGCCACCCCAGCGGTGCGCCATCGAGCCTTAGTTTTACATATATTTCTATTCATTCTATTACGAGTATAACATAAGCAATCCAAAGATAATGTATTATCTTTGAGCAAATCTTATTGACTAAAGTTTTTGACAAAGTGCATGAACATGAATTTCGATGATTATAACAAAGATATTAATAATATATTATCATAGATTTGGTATTATCAATGAATCACTTATTCAATGGTATTGTCTTTGTAAATTGTAATGGTACAGTTGACACAAAACAAGAAAAGAGGGCGCTGCAAGTAACTCGGTCATAAAGTCACTAGATATAGAAAGTACCGCAATCATCCGCCATTTTTGGGCAAATTTGCTGCCAACTTAAAAAAATTGACAAATAAAATCTGAATAGCTGTCATTTTTTATAACCTAACTTCATAGTACTGTCATGTTTTATAAAAATATATACAGATATCTCCAAACAGGTGGAACAAACCCTAACATTAAAGTTACTAGAATCTGGTAACTTCCGCCATTTTTGGGCAAAAATCATGCGTTCTCTCTCTAACACACGAGCCCAATAGATTGCGGTACTTTCTATATTTAGTGACTTTACTCGGTCAGTTTAACTGCTGACACGGCAAAATAACATCGAAACGTTGCACTAAACACGTTATCGCTTCTCGGCCTATGGCTAAGATCAAAGTGTAGTATCTGTTCTTATCAGCTTAATATCTGATACGACCCGCATGCGGGTCCAGTATATTAAACTGATTTTTGGAAATTGACGGAGGTTAGGGGCTTGCTCCACCTCCGTCGCGGGTTGGCCCGGTCTTGCAGTACCTCCGGGATCGGCCCAAATAAAACAATCATAAACAAAGATTCCCAACCTAGACCCACAGGAGAACAACTTTTACTGATGAGTGAAGGTTTTCTATTCTTTGTTCAAGACGATGGGAAGAGAGCTCTCAGTTTATGGAGTGCAATGAGAAAAGACTCTTGCCACTCCCCACAGAGAAGAAGTGCCCCGTGCGCGGATAAATCCCAAAGATCTGTTATAGTATATTAAGTATGGAGAACGGTAAGGGATTTTTACCGTTCGAAATTGTTTGGCGGAGGAGCGAAGCGACGACTCCAATAATTATTGTCTGAGAACGGGGTGCTTATAACATTTTTTGCGCGATCGAAATTAAAATTATGCAACCAATATATATGCATTAAGAAATGAACGAGCAGAATAAATCGATCGAAGTGGTATGCTGTACATCACTAGGTAACCAGTTTATTTGTCAAAATTGAAATTAATAAACCGATACAACGAAATATCGAAGGATCCTCAGTATTACAATCACTTTTAACGACAATTTATTTTAATCTTACAAAATACATTTTATAGTTAACAAAAATGCATCCAAATTCATGTCTTGGGCTTTGAGATAATGCTCTTGGTTTTTTTCCCAACGATCTTGGTGCATAAATAACGATTTTGACATGTTTTGATCAAAATCCATGTGGTCCATAAAAATAGATCAAATTCATGTTTAGATCATTGAGATAATGCTCTTGATCTTTTTCCCAACGATCTTGGTGCATAAATAACGATTTTGACATGTTTTGATCAAAATCCACGTTTTCGCCAAAAATTCATCAAATTCATGTCTTGGGCATTGAGATAATGCGCTTAGTCTTTTTCCCAACGCTCTTGGTGCATAAATAACGATTTTGACATGTTTTGATCAAAATCCACGTGGTCGCCAAAAATTCATCAAATTCATGTCTTGGGCATTGAGATAATGCGCTTAGTCTTTTCCCAACGCTCTTGGTGCATAAATAACGATTTTGACATGTTTTGATCAAAATCCACGTGGTCGCCAAAAATGCATCAAATTCATGTCTTGGGCATTGAGATAATGCGCCTAGTCTTTTCCCAACGATCTTGGTGCATAATTAACGATTTTGACATATTTTGATCAAAATCCATGTGGCCTCAGAAAAATAATTTAACATTTTTGAATCACACACATGCGGTTATCAAACGTGCACGTTATCAACTCTTTCAGCATCAAGATAATGCGTTTGAAAGCTTTTACAACTCTAAATTCATGTGTAAAGAATAATTTTGGGTACATTTTGCTCTAAAACTTTTGACCGAGACCACAGAGAAGAGTTATATTGAATTGTTACACATCTAAGAGTCATAGGGAATAATCTAGCGAAAGTCCGAACTCGATACATGACCTAGGGAATGAAATATGTTAATTTTTATTATATTGAGTTCGCAGTTTTTCCTGTTCCCGATTCACTCGAAGTCGTATAACTTTTGTTCCTGTTGAACCAGCTTCCTGAAAATCAATAGCGTCCGTTCTTAATGTCCAACGTACCCGTATACCAAATTTCAACACAATCGGCCACTTTTAAAAAGAGTTAGAGCGCACACGGACGGACGGACGGACGACAATACAAAACTATAAAAGATCTGAGGATCCTTAATAATTTCATAAAAATGTGCATGTGTCTGATGTAGTTTGCTAGCTTTGCACTTCCTTTATGACTTTATGAGCGTCTTTCTATAGGAACCAACAGCACAAATTGTACCTACGTTTAATGTACCTAACAATAATTAAAGATTAAATGTTAGACTGTTGATTTTGAACTGATGGTTTTTAAAAAGGCGTCGGTAAGTATTTTTGCTGAATTGAATTTCATGTAATTCCGTTTATAACTAACGGAGATGTCAAAAGGGGGCCTTCTTTATTTTTTTGCCTACATTGCCAATTCACGAACTCCGATCTACAAATTTGATAAAGAATCCACTTGCAAAATTTCATTGTAATCGGTCCATTCAGCAGACGGAAAAACACCGCAAAATTATAAACTCGCTGGACGGAGATTCATCTATTTCAGGGGTCAGCAACCTTTTGTTATACTTATATTTTACGCGGAGAACGAGAATGTGCGGCCCGCACTTGAGTTCTAGTATACCACAATATTTTGTGCCCAAATATGTTAGTTTAAAATTTAAAAAATAAATTCATAATTTTTAGATTTTTTTTATATTAGTTAGCAAATGCTTGCATGTAGAGACAGAACTTCAAATAAAGCTAGCACCAAGCACGAGTGGTCTGCACTTTAGCAATTTTCTACCTAACTAACACGACAGATAGATCTGTGCTAACACGGAAACAAGCTTTGTTTATTTTAACTTAAACCGGGACAGCGCGTACGCAGTCCCGACTACCAAAAATTACGCGCCCGAGTTATCCACATTAGGGATAATCGCAGGTTTCAGCCCGATCGCAGTGCAATGAAAGGGCCTCATCCTGGGGGAACCGCCTTATTGATCACGGTAACCCCTACGCCAGGTAAGTATGCTTATGTAGCATTTCGGTGAATGTCATATTCAACATACAACGGAATATCAAATGTCTGAAATGTTAGTGGCGTCACTACTCGTTAAATTCGATAACTATATGATATTGCGATCTATCTTTGTTTGAAGGTTATCTTTGATAATAAATTCATAAATTTCGGTCTATCCTCTACCAACAAAGTTGAATGTTGAGAATAATTAGGAACGCATTAGCAGTACTTATCCAATTATAAAAAAAAGAAGTAAAGGGATAGTTATTTACATTATTAGTGCGGGAACAGTTATTTTGCAGATGAGCGCGAAGTTTGGCGGCGCGAGTGCGCAACGCGCACGAGCGACGCATCTCGCGCGAATCAAGCAAATACTGTTCACGCACGTAACATGTATTCTATTTTTTGCACGAATTAGTTAAATCGAATTTATATAAATTGAAATCCTTTTCGCGAGATGTTTGCGACATTATAATTCTTTTGAAAAAATCAAGTCCTCTATGCCGATAAAGTAGAAATCTAGAAATTTAAAATGTCAATTTATTGGTCAAAACTTCTGGTTTAAGCTTATTTTTGCCCCTGTACTACAGGGAATGATGTAAACGTAAAGTGTATTTACATTTTCTTTTTTACTCTTCCATCATACTACTTATTAGTTTATGATCCGCACTAAATAGATAATTTCGTTGAATTTTTAGGCACTAGTGCGCGAAAGTAGATAGTCAATTGTAAAATTGACGTTCCCGACTTTCGTGTTTTATTGGGAAAACGCGATTTAGAACGAAGGAGTGCAAAAAATAATTAAAGAATTTCTGCAAACTAAAAGATCGTAAATGATCGTATATTTAGATGTACGAACAAACGTTTACGTTCTTAGACCTATTACTAGATGTCCTACTGTGTGTTTTGTTGTTGAAAAATATGAAATAGGTAGGTATATCTATATAATTTAAAAACATGTACGTTATAAAAAACAGTTTTTGAAAACTCTGAAAATGGGTTGTGGGAAAAAAACCAAATTTAATTTTTGTATCACCAGTTTCCTATATGCAGAAGCTCATGATACATTCACGGGCATTTGGATTGGATATCTACTAAAACGTGTGTGTAGGTATCGTGACTAAACCGAGATAGGACCATTGAATTCAATAAGACCCACTATTAAATGGTTAGTGGCGCCACTAATAATCCATCAATTTGTTCAGTGATCTACCCATGGAGGTATAATGATCTAATGACCCGAGCATTACATGCTCGTTTTTATCAAGCACATATTAAGGGTAGCTCCACCTAATTCAGGCGAATTGCTTTTAAACGTCCGTGTATCTTTGCAAGTACGAGTGTGATTATTTATTGCGCATTTTTTACCACCCGCGCGTTAGTAAGTGTAGGTATTGCACTGGGGTAAAAAATTACCCACCGAATTTTTTTTTACAGAAATACACGTTTTGAAGCTGCAGCCGCTGCAGGAATCTCGATTATGTCGGTCGGCAGAGCTGGGCAAAATACTTTTTAGAAGTATTTAAATCCCAAATACTAAATACATTCAAAAAAGCAAAGGTATTTAAAGATTAAATACCTACTTTTTTAAGCAACATAAGCAAATATTAAATACAAATACTTTAGTTTAGTTTAGTTTTATTTATCCCCATACCGATTACAAAGTAATATTGGGTTGTCACAGCATACGATAAGGTATAAAATTACAAACAGGCAATATAAATTGAACTAAAAACATAATTTACAATAATTCGCCGTCGCGCAGGACTTGGAGGTATTCGTTCACTCGGTAGTATGGATTATGTTCTAGCTTGAATTTTAAATTTATTTGTTGATGTAAGTGTTCGCAGTTCTTGTGGGAGATGGTAGAATAGCTTGATCGCCATATACCTGGGAGAATCCTCAAATAGTGCAGTGCTATGTCCTGGGACGCTGGGATTGTGGCCATATCTGGTTTGTATGCCATACCTAAGGTCCTGATTGGTCGTAAATTGGGATTTATTTTCAAGTATATATGATACACACTTGTATATATATAATGAATATACGGTCATGATTTTCATTTTCTTGAACAGAGCAAAGATCATACTGATCTTTGAACAGAGGCCGACTTTAAAAAGTATTTAAATACTTCTGGAAAAGTATTTTACTACTTTACAAACTATTTAAATACTTTGTAAAGTATTTAAATATTTTGAAAGTATTTAAATATTTGAAAAGTATTTAACCACTTTTGAAAGTATTTAACTATTTTCGAAAGTATACTTTCAAAATATTTAAATGTTTGGAAAAGTATCATATTTCAGTTTCTAGTAAATTTACGCCGGTTTACTTATCTAATGTGGAAAATTTTTTTGAGTCGGATTTTTTGTTGACTATAAGTATATTTGAATATGGATTTAATATTTAATCTTGGAAAAATATTTAATGTTAGCTAAATGGACATTACAACCTGATGTGTCGAGTTAGAAAATTCAATGGTTGTCTACTGTATTTGCCTATTTAACACTGCCGATCCATACATATATCACTAATCCAAAGGTACGGCACACACAAATCACAAATAAAATTTCGATTAAATACGCATGTGGTACTACTAAACTATCACAAAAACTGTTCTTCTTCGCTGTTACTTTAGTCTTAGTTATATTTTCTTCGGGCGGCTAGAAAATTAGTACAGGGTAGGGTATGGTAATAACTTTGTTGTTTATTTAGGGATTACGTTGCAGGTTAGATGTTTGTCACATTTTCAAACCAACAAATCTCTTTAAAACTGAACAATCAATCGCCATGGTTTACAACAACGCAGTCGGCATGCTTGTGGTCAATAATCCTCTTATATTCCGATGCCGCGACGTGCTTGTGAACTATCTACTTATACTTATGATTGCTGCTCCACTGAAAACCGCAATAAATCATAGATGAAAATACAAACTTTTGCGATTTTCACACATAATTAAACAAATTAAGCATTTATCTTCTTTTGGGTTTTACATTTAATTGTATTACTAATGAAGACATTTCGATAACGGACATAGTTACCTCATCACTCATCATTTATCAAAAATATAACTCTGCTATAAAAATCCAAAAACGAAAATTGTTTTAATTTAAGTACCTAATGATTAGCAAGTTCTTCAAAAATTAAATATTATTAAAATGATTAATGAATTGAGGGTGTTCTGACTTGTCATCCTCAAGGCATTTTAGAAACATTTAATATTTGCAGTATCAAGTTCCTGCTAATTTTGACTTGAATAAAAAATTAAAATAATTTTCGTAGTTGACTTTTTGAAGAATAGCAGGCTTACTTACATTTACACTTTTAACTTTATTTGACATCTTTACTTTTTTCTAATAGTTTTTTTGATAACTTACAAAGGTAACTGACGCTAACTGAAACTGTTATCGAAACGATTTCATTTGTAAACAAATTAAATAGAAAAACTCGTGTATACACGATTATAACCCAAAAGAAGATAAATATTTAATTACGCAACTTTGGTACATTTTAAGTCATATAACAGTGGTTGGAAAGTAGAACTGAATACCTATCTAAGCAGCATTTAGCCGTTGGTCAATCCAACGTATCTACAAATTAGTCCGCATATTTCCGCGGGCATGGGGTAAGTTTGAAGGGACTTGTATCTCTGTGTGCAAATAATTAAAGCATGTGGTACCCTATACGCTTCAATGCGATTCTTATGCATAAATACCTACTTACTTATCGAATGTCGTAAGAATTTATAAACTATTTAAGTAACATTAATTATTAGTACTATTACCCATATAAGACGAGCAGGCGAGTGGACATGAGTAGGAAGCAAAGTAACTTACACACCTACAGAGTAAGTAGTAAGCTAAAGCTGTTTGAAAATATCTTCCTGATAGGCATATTGATTATTAATTTTTAAAAATTAAATCTATAGGACTGTAGGGGTTCCTCAAAAAGTCTATATCCTTCAAGAGTATTTAAGTACTTTCCAAAAGTATTTAAATGGGCGAAAAGTATTTAAATAGTCCAAAAGTATTTAAATACTTCAGAAGCATTTAAATACTCTAAAAGTATTTAAATACTACAAAAGTATTTAAATATTTCCCAAATATATTTAAATACTTTTCAAAAGTATTTAAATCCTAAATACTTTTAAAAGTATTTGAGCTTTCAAATACAAATACAATGTTAAGAAAGTATTTAAATACCAAGTATTTAAAAATTTCAAATACTTCCCAGCTCTGTCGGTCGGCCTGTCTGTACTCCTACTAAACGACTGAACCAATTGGAACCAATTTTGGTAGACATTCTTACTGTCGACACTTAAGTTTAGTTCGCCGGATGATTTTGATAGGAAAGGCAACGGCCGGCCGATCAGACGAAATTAAATTGACATATCTAACAACAATTCGTATTTTATTGCAATACGGCGGAATTGGTTGATTCACGAACTTAACATAGATATGTATGAGATACATATGTTACACCAATACACCATCCCTTAAAGTTTGGTCGAAATCGGTTTATAATTACGAAAGTTAGAGTGTTTCTTGGAAGTGATAAATACAGGGTGAGCCTTTTTCGATGTTCAGTATGGGGATTTCGTAAATCGTAAGAGATAGAAAGTCACTTAAATGGACAGTGATCAAAATTTTTAGCACCATCAGAAAGCTGAGAACAAATGACTAAGAGTTTGTTAAAACTATTTTTTGATATCTTTGAGAGTAGGCAGCGCATTATGAAATTTTTCGGGTCTTTGACCCTAACTTCATTGTTTGTGAAGCTACAAGAAACTCTTAAAGGGAAACTTAATCTACATAAAATTCTGTAATTCTTTGCTCATTTAAGCGACATGTAGTGATTGTAGCTCTGTCGGAATCTACTATTCAGCGCGCGTTTGGTTCGTTCGGGGCATTTTGTTGCAAATGAATACGCACCTTTACATAGCACCATTGTATTTATAAACATTTATAAATACAATGATAGTACTAACACCGTACGTGTTGATTATTTCGATAAGTAAAAAAAAAGTGTGAAGTTGGCCACGCCCCGTTTTCTTATGCTATGTAGCAGCTGACAGCACTAACGTAGCAGTAAACTGTTGTCACGTTTTTGTCAAATTATTTCATGTGGGCGAGGCCAACTTCACATGGGTAAACTATGGTTTCGAATTTAGATAAAGTCCTTTCCGGCGCGCTGCGCTTTAGCACTTTAGGGAAAGCATTGAATATAAGTAGGTAATTATACTTATTCAATGGTGAAAAGTAGCAAGAATCATACACAGTGTACCCCAGAATCTCGCCCAGAATACTCTTTTGCACCTACGTGTATCAAATATAACTAGTATAATAGACCACGAGTGATCACTATGTGTATTTTTTTATGGCGGTCACTTGCAACCGACGAAGGCGCATTTTCTCCACACAGAATCAGTAATAACTCGGGATCGGGAAGGAAGTGACTAATACAAAAAATCTTTTGTCGTTCTGATCTCGAGGCTGTGCTACACCGTAATAGAAAGAGATCACAACAAAAAGCTTAAACTGGAGGAGTCGAGTGTTACAGACGGACAAAGTGCGGACAATAGCGTTCATTTTTCTTTTGGAAAATGCGCTAAACATATGTATACATATTTAGGTAGTACTCCTTTAGGTATATTTAAAAGGAAGCGCCCTTAAACTAAAATTATGTTTTAACAAATCGTCTTATTTTTACAGTTTCAGTAAACGAGCCGGTATCACGGTTGGTATAAGCACAGACAACATATACTATGTTGTCTGTGGTATAAGCAAAGAGTATATAACGAACGTTATATGGTATAAGTACCTCTGTCAGAACACTCTGTACCTACACATATTTTTATTTTTTGATGGCCTTTAATGATAATAAATAGTAAAACAATTCATAGACAGATACATATTTTAAAAATAAATTTACGTATCAAGTTTATAGATGTGGGACTTCGTTGTGCAAAACCTTGTGCAAAACTGATATAGGTATGTATTCAAATTAAAATTCGCACATTAGGTATCTTCACAATATAAACTAAATTTACGTAGATATTTGTGTAGTTACATTGTAATCGTGCTAAGATACATATTAAGCCCCTGAGGCCACATAAACTATCAAAGTGATACCAGAGATTTAAATATTATTAAATCTGTGGTGATACTACCATTGTATTTATAAATTTAACGAAGTGCTCAAATCACCGTGAATGGGGGTGTAGAGTGGCTTTCATTTGATACAAAGTTAAGGGCCACCTTTTTAAAATAACAATGCGGTACAAAATAAGGTTTCAAGTCGTGTCCCAAGCATTTGAAAAAAAATAACACATTCAATTTATACAACATTTCCGATTTTATTTTATTTCGCAATGAAAACCGTGGAACTATGCAGGTATGTCGTCAGTCACCATTAACGATTTGAATAAAACTAAAAACGCGACGCGACATGAGCAATGCAGATCAATTGGTTATTGGTTTAATTCGGGGACATACGCTGAATACGGGGCGGTTGGCCGCATGCCCGCATACAAATTCAATTCGAATGGTGTATCCAAGATATATAGAGACTGGTAGGCGCGCTTATACCTGTAAAATTTGACGCCAAATCCGGCGCTAGGTAAACTCAATCCATAGATGGCGCCAGGGTGATCAGTGTACTTCAAATGAATGTCATTTAAATTGTTTTAGGTTATGATGTTATGTACAAAAATTTTTTACTTAGCGACTTGGTGTGGTTTGGCATCTACAGTGTGTTATACCTAGTTATTGTTGCAAACAATTTCGGTAAATAAAATAGACAAGTACTAATCGGATGTATAAGCAGGCAAACTTGCACATCGCACTGTTCACTTTGCTAAAGTTCAAAGTTACAGAGCATTGAGGGGTTCCACTAAAAAGGATGCTCGTTATCACAGTAAATAGTAGCGCAATACCTGCATTACAGACTTCTTACCCCGTCTAGCTGTCGGAGCTTGTACTGGATCAAGCGAAGTCAACAAGTCATTGATCAATGTAAACCATATGTGAACAAACCAGGAGCCGCCCTTCTTATACCTATTAAGATAAGCATCAAATGACCCTCACCTACACAATCTACGGTGTAAGCAATCATGCCGAGAGCTGTAAGAACCTCTGACACAAAATCATTATTGCCCGTTTGATTAGCGAGATTCTCGGCTGCTGAGATGGGGATTGAAGGAACTGGCAAAAGTCTACATTATTACTGTTAAGATGGAAGGTAGGGGGGACCCGACTTGTTCAACCTACCTTTTTATTTTATAACTTAATCTCGGAAGCTCCCAGGATCTAAATGCTGGATAGAAGGGGACTAGTGCAATAATTTTAACCAACTTCTGTTCCAGGAGTGTGGCTTATCCTAACCTTAGTCATCTTCCCATTTAACGCCTCTGCAAAACGACCAACTTCGGACTTCAGAAGAATGACAGATCACTGCGTAGGCAACGACGTGGAATTGTATTAGGTGTCGATGCTAACGATGTGTGGGGAAACACAACTACACTACACTTCTGCAGTCTGCACAGCTTCCTTGCCTTGGGTCTCATGCCGAGTACAATTACTTAGTGGTCGCTCTCCTACTTTCCATGGAAATTTAAAATACAGATGCGTTAAAACATAGACCCTTTTTCCATATTATTATCAGGGAAACTGCCTGTTACATTTTTTACAAATATTTACAAATAAATTTTCTATAAACAACGTCAACAATTTAATGAGACCAATTTTGCTAGTTACGCATATTTTTAAGAAGCTGCGCGTTATGACAATCTACAAAACAAGAATTGTAATTATTGCATTTACACTAAGTAGGTATTTTGACTAAAAAAAAGTCGAAATGCTTCAATTACATACTGAAGGAACTCGAAGTAAAGATGTATCACGAGTTAAGGGCGTATTGTGGTCTCAAATCAAACACTTTCTCATATTTGATGGTTTAATTCAAATTTAAATGACGTGTTAGAATAAATTGACAGTTTTGTGAAGTACACTGCATAGATATATAAATACATAGATACAGCCATACCCCAACATAGTTCAAAAGGACGTACCATCTGTTACCATCACTTTCGGCACATTAATTACGTATAGCGCTATCCTTTATGATGATGAGCATGGAAGACAAGATTCGCATTATTTATTATAACTGTCAATCAAATTGTTAGCACAAATCACAAAGAAAATGATCAGATTTGGGACTTTACAACATAAATAAACCGCCCTTTTATTTATTTAAATCGCTTAGCAGCAAGAAATGTTACATTTAAAATGGAAGATGTTACTTAGAAAGCTGGCAAATGAAGAATTTAAAAAAATTACAGCTGACAACTGGAAGAAAGTGTGTGAACATGTGGAAAGTGATTAATTTAAAAGAGAAGTTATATTGGTTGATGTTTCTGAACTTTATAATAAGTGTTAATAATGACAGTGATGATTCGGATTTGTCAATTTCATCTGACGATGATTCGGATTGTGAACTTTTTTACAAACGTAATAAATGTTCACTAAATGAGTATTATCACCAATTGGATATCATTGTTAAGATGTTGTATTTATTTTAAATAAATGTACACGTGTAGCTTACTTACTACAATTAGCACTATAATTTTAAAAAGAAACCCCACCGATTGGACATATGCCGAAAGGTAGCCAAGACGCGTAGCGACCAAAATTTGATATTGCACGCACACACAGTCTATAAATCTCGTTTTCCTAAGAATATTGCACGGATCCTTCTTTGTGATCATGATACAAACGCACTGCATCAACATCATATAGGTCAAAATGATAATTGGAAACGAATTCACTTCCTGTCGCAACGTAATCTCCGTTACCATTACGCCTAAAACCATGCAATTAAAATGTTGAACATAATCTTTACTTACTTACGGTTTTTTTTGATATTCTGCAAGCCAGCAATGAATTCACTGCAGCACATCATGCCAAACAAGGTAAACATAGTCCCAAATTTGAATGGCGTAGCTCTATGTAATAAAACTGTTTCAGGAATAACAATTATGGACGCGTCTATCATTATGGCAAGCACTAATGTTATTCGTATTCAATTGAAAACGCAATAATTACATAATATTTAGTGAAAAAACCGCCCATCATGTTTAGGGCGAATATTTTTAGTTAGATTTGATTTCGCGCGATCGTGATATGTGTCAACTGTCACATGACTTATGGGACGCGCTAAGTTTGTTTTAAGCGTCCGATTCGCGTACGACATAGTGGTTAATGCAATAAAAAGAGATAGAACATGTTCCTTCTTGGTTAGAAAGTAATGGAGAGATGTACAAATTTCTTTGATATGTTTTTTAAAAACCGAGGTACGTTTGTTAAGGATGGCTGTATCTAGGTATTTATATATCTATGGTACACTGGGATGGGTGGCGACATCTAGGGAGCGATTTTAACTGGCGCCGCATTCTGTCTTACATAATGGCGGCGAGTCATCCTACCATCTTTAATATATCTTGGGTGTATCTTTGTGGCATCAGTCATTTTAATTAGTACAAATTCTCCACATACATCTAAACAGATCTCGTTTGCAAATTACATACCTATAAGCTAATGATACACTATTGTTACTTAATTGTTTTGAGTAACGTCATCAGTTTGAATTAATAATAATTAGTACGTAATGTAAGCATAATAAAAATCGGAAGAAAAGTTATAATGTTCTTAATTTAAAGATTATTTTTCTTTGCTTATAGGTTGCATAAATCATTGACCATTACTCATTTTTAATTACCTATATACGTACGTTAGCACAGAATGTTAGCTATAAATTGTAACAAACCTGTATCTATTCGATTCTATACTACAGGCCTAATCATTTCTAAAATATCATTTTTTCAGTGAGCATACGAGTATTGTATAGGTACATATATAGAGTGTCCCAAAGGAATGGGATAATGGGTCTGTAGATTTAGTCAACCGTTAATACAAAAAATGTTTCAAAGGTTCATGAATATTTTTGGCACATTTTGCCGCACACCTAAATATTTCTAGGTAACGTTACTATGGAGACGAGTATTGTAGCACCCTGTATTTTACTGGTTATTTACATTCCTTTTCTATATCTTTTCATTTAAAATAGTGGGTAAGGGTTTTAGCGCATTTTTGCAAATTTATTTGTATAAAGTAGCTTTTAATCTCACTTTGGCTGGCTGAATGGCAGCAAATGTGGGCGCGTAGAAGAACTCTTGTAGAAGGGCGACGGGTGTACGTGTATATACAAGGCCGTGTAATTTGTCAACCTTAGGGACAGGGCTACATGATGTGGGGTTGGCGACATCTGGGCGTCATCCTCGAGCGTAGTTTACTAACGTGAAGGTTTTTCAGTTTTTTCATATCTTCTACTACAGTTGTGGTCCGATTCTTTTCAAATTGGTGTCGTCGGAAAGATGTTGTAAACGCGCACAACTCCTGCGGAATTTTTTTTGTCCTAGGGGCGAAATTAACGACCTTCGCGCGTCTTCGAGAGGTAGTCAACTTCGGGCGCCTTTTACCTTCCGTTGCTAATTTTGTCACGCGGTTTAACGTTTCGTAAATCTCGAATCGCTGTCTCTCTTTCTCGTGTCGCCAATAGAAGCTTGAGTAATGAGAAGTGCCCCAAAAATTAAGTATTATCTTGTGGAAGGTTTTTAGCGAAATCCACCAAAATGTGGGTGTAATATAACTATATAAGTATGCACCGAAAAAAGAAATGTGGTAGCCTCCAATAAGCTCTTAACTGATGGTGGAGTGAAAACTTCAAACGCGAATTTGAGGTGAACGGGGCGTCGGAAGTGGGTACCGTCAAAGGGAATGTGGTAGCCCCCGACACGATCTTACTGATGGTGGAGTCAAATCTTCAAACGCGCCTCGGAAGGGGATACCGACAAAGGGAATATGGTAGCCCCCGACAAGATTTTACTGAGGGTGGAGTCAAAACTTTAAACGCGAATTGCGGGTACACGCGGAAAGTGGGTACCGACAAAGTGAATGTAGTAGCCTTCGACAACAACTTTTATTGATGGTTGAGTCAAAAGTGGCTAATAGAATACTGATCTGCCACACAAAAATGCGCTGAAGTCCCTTCGATCTCACACGAGTGTCATATATCATCGGACTACGCATGTCCGATGTCAACGAGCGGTACGATGGCAGTACGTACTTGACGATTAACAAATAAAGAGCTATCGTAACCAACGTCCACGAATTACTATTTATTATTAACGCCTCTACCCTCGGCTAACATTACGCAACCGAAATACATTACATGGTGGCATACGGTAAAACCGACGACGCGTGTCTATAAAGTAATAACGTGGTACGGACGAAGATAAGCGAATTCGGCATTCGCGAATCGCGGTTTACGTGCGATAAGAAAAACGGTAGCAAACAAGTGTGCGCGAGGCTTTACTCGACGCGCCGTACGTACTTACTGGAAAGTAGGGTTTACTTCTTTCAAAATATTATAAAATAATTTCGTTACTAAATGGCGGATTCGGCAATAACACCGGGAATAATGCACTTTAAAGGCAATCTTGCCGCAAATTGGCGATTATGGAGGCAGAAATTTGATTTATACATGCTTGCCAGCGATAAATCAAAAAAGAACGATGAAGTTAGAGTTGCAATTTTACTTAATTTTCTGGGCGACGAAGGACTTCAAATTTTTAATACCTTCGAATTCGATGGAGAAAGTGATCGGAAAACATTATCAGTAGTGCTACAAAAATACAGTGAATACTGTGAACCGTTAAAAAATCTAGTTTATGAACATTTTAAATTTTTTAAGCGCGAACAACTAACGGGGGAGACGGTTGATCAGTTCGTCACAGCCCTTAAACAACTTTCGTTATCGTGTGAGTTCAAAGAACGAGATGTAATGATTTTGGATAGAATTGTGCTTGGAATTCGTGATACGCGTACACAAGCAAAATTGTTACAAACAGATGGGCTAACGCTGGACAAAGCGTTATCTATATGTCGCGCTATCGAAAGCAGCTCGATACAACAAAAAGAAATCGCGGGCGCTTCAAAAAACGAACTATTAGTGGATAGTGTCAATAGTTACGGTCATAAACCAAAAAACAGCGAAGTTTTTAATAAAAATAAAGACAGATACCACTATAAAAATAAAAGTGTAAATTTTTATAATGGAAACTATCCGAGAACGAGCCATTCGGAGGGTAGTAATGACAACTATCGAAATTATCGGCAAAACGCAGGTAACAAGTGCCAAAATTGTGGCATGATTCATCCACAAGGTAAGTGCCCTGCTTTATTTCGTATCTGTCGTCGCTGTAATAGGAAAGGTCACTACCGCAAATTTTGTAAAAGTAAACACATTCATGAAATAAACGAATATGGATGTGATTTGTCGCAGTCGGATAGCGATTTTGACCCATTATCTGACTACAATTCTGAATGTGATGAAAATTCGGAGATTGTTTGGACAATTTCAACAATTGAACCGACAAGCGTTAATAAAACAAGCCATTTAGTGGAATGGTATGAGACAGTTTTCGTTAAATCTTGTGACGTGAAATTTAAAATTGACACTGGAAGTCATGTAAATATTCTAAATTACACGGACTTTAAAAGACTAGGTGTTTCTCACAATATGATAAATAAAACAGGCTCAAAACTTTCTTCGTATTCGGGTCATAATATAGAGACAATCGGGTTAATAAACGTAGATTGTAC